GAAAATTGGCTCATAAACAACATGATATCCTGGAAATTATGGCAAACCATAAATCGACTGTAATAAAATGTGTGGTTACATAGAACCAGAACTCAGACCAGCAGAAACGTGGACACAGATTAGTCGTGTTTCAGAGAATCTTGGAAATTATGGCAATATATAATTTGACTGTATTAAATGTCACATTGATTTAGGAAAACTATTGATAGAAGGTATGCTTATGTAAACACCGGACATGCTTCAGAAAGGGATTGAATGTACAAGAGGCAGGAGAATTGACAAGGATAAAATAGTTTTTCATGGAGCAGCATCATTTTTACGAAGAGCAGTGATCATTTTTCAAGGAGCAGTGTTAGTTTTTCAAGGAGCAGTGTTAGTTTTTCAAGGAACAGTGTTAGTTTTTCAAGGAGCAGCTTAGTTTTCTAGGTAGCAGTGTTCTGTTAACCACCTGCTTAATGCTGATAATAGTGAATACAATTATGGGGTCAGTTCAACTTCATGGAATGGAGGATAAGGCTATGGTATGGAGAGACATAGAAATTATTAGCAGTACACATAACAGACATTACGGAAGTAAAAAGAGTAATGAGGTTGTCTTAAAAGAAAATACCTCACATAGAGAACTGATTGCCCACATCAAAAAGAGACAACTTACATTCTTTGGTCATGTCATGAAAAGGAGATAACTGGAGTACATCATGACAATAGTAAAGTTGGAGGGGAAGAGAGGCAGAGGGAGACTGAGAGAGAAGATGCTGGGCAGTTTGACATCATGACATAGAAGATTATCTGTGTCAGAGGTAATTAAAAGTACACGGAACAGAAAGTTATCAATAGACATGACTATCAACGCCGCCACACTGAATGTAGAAGATCCTCTGTGTCAGAACTGATTTTAAAGTACGCGGAAACAGAAAGTTGTGAATAGACATGAGTACCAACACCACATGGCATGGACTATAAGAAGAAGACTCATAACAGAGCATGATGATCAACACCACACAGTATGGAGGAACATTTGTTTCAGAAATTATTAGTTCTGACCAATGTAATAACATCAGGTTAGCATTGTATATTGTCATCCTTTCACCCACATTAAACGAGGTACTGTTGCTGATGACTTTGCTTGTTCTACAGTGAGGAATATAAACTGCAAGACCACATTAGCAGTTGAAGCTGGGCATGCAGTAAAAAACATGAAAGTCAAAACAAACAAAACTGAAACAATGCAAGTTAGTAGACCTGGCTCACTACAAAAACATCTGATTGGTTCTGACCTAAAAAAAAAGTTAGGGAATTTAAATATCTAGGAAACTTGATCATGAAAGATGGCAGAAATAACACAAATTAAAAAAACCAGACCTCAGAAAGCAAGTGCAATACACTAATTGTCACCATTATTTAGACGTGCAAACAAAACTATGAATGCAAGAGGGAAAATAGTAGAATAATATATACAGTATCCAAGGAAACAGAATCTGTTATTTATTTCTTATTTGACCATAATATAAAAGAACTTAAGAAGGAAATGCTTTTTTTTTTTTTTTCATATGATGATCTTTTATTAACCGACACTGCAATTTTCCCCATCAAATCTACTGCATGACAAGCTTTGAAGTGATGCTATTAGCTTTAGATCGACTTTGCTTTGACTATTAGTGTCTGTATCTATATCTTGCATATTACTGTTTTGTTTTTTATTAATTCATCTATCTTTTTTTTTTTTCAACTGCCTTTCCATGCCAACAATTTTTAAAAAGAAAGACATATCTGCAGTTTATTTGCGGATGCAGACTCAAACAGAAAATATTTTCTCAAAAATACAAATATTCTGGGTTTAGAAGGCTCTCTATGAATAAATTTATGTTTGTATTTGTTTATTTTAGTTTAATTAAGTGTAAACTCACATTGCAGTTGATTTTATTTTCTTCAACCAATCAATAGGGTTGTCTTATTCTTTTTTTTTCTGTCTTGAGAACAAGATAGTAATAAGTCAGTATTGTGCTTTGTGTCATCAATGAGTCATCTGCTTGCTTTGTGTCCCTGTTATGTCAGGACAGAAATAGTCAGTATCTTGATTCATTTCCTCACTGTTGCAAACAGCAAGCCAGTATCTTGATTGAGCGACTCACTGGTGTAAACCAGCAAGTCATTTTCTTGAATCATCTCATTGATGTAAAACAGAGAGGCAGTATCTTGGATCATCTCCGTATTGCTGTAAAACAGCAAATGAATACCTTCATTCATCCCTTTCTATACTGTTGGGAATGATGATGGTCTTAGAGATGCCCTGTTGTTACTTATGTGTGTGTCTGAAACAAGTAACAAAGTAGATGCATGTATCTACAGCTTACTCATAGATCTTATACACTATATCATGGATGATATTTGTAGTCAGCATTCAGCTTGAATTTCATTTTACACTTAAATAAAAAAATTTAAAAAAATAGATTCCCAAAACATCTTGAATTTAAGATAGCTACTCCATTATTTGCTCTTTAATATTTAAAGTCTTCATATCTAATGATTTTAGAGACAAGAGACTTAGTGCATGAAGAGACAGTTAAGCTAGATTTTAGGTCTAGAAAACAATATCAGGAAAGACTAATTAGATCTGCAGTTTGAAGATTTTACTGCTTCAGTATTTTTTTCATGCCAGTGTATAGCCTTTCCAGGCTAAACAGGTTTAAATTTAAAATAGTATCAAGAACATGATACAAGAACACAAACAAAGGAAAGCTGTTTGGTTGCATACCAACAAATCATTGATGTGAAAAATTAAAATATAAAAATAAATTTTGCGTCCATAAAATAAAAGCAGGAAAGAAAGAGGCAAACATTCATTAGTACCCCAAAAATGAAAAAGAAACAGACAAGTTTAGCTGTTTTTTCTTTTTAAACAGAAAATAAGAAATGATAGTGATATTATTAATATTCATGCAAGTTTCACTAATCGTTCTTCTTTATCTTTTATAATCGTCATAGTTAAGCATAAAACAGAACATGCTCAGAGCCTTTTCATTCTTGTCTCAGGCTGATTCACATTTAACAGTAAGGTCTTTCATGAGTGTTTTTACATTCCTTGTCTTAGATTCCTGTCTTATGTACAGTAAAGTGAGTCTTTAATTCTGTCTTCTTTTCATAAACAGTGGAGGTTTTTTCCCTCACTGTTTGCCATCCTTTCCTTGCAAACTGTGGGCCTTTCCTGATTACCTGAATTTGATTCTCCTGAGCACTAAAACAATCTTGTTTTTCTATGTTATTATTAAAATCTAGGTGTTTTCTTGTTTGCCAAAAGTTGTCATTAATTAAATCTTCAAGTACTTGGCAACTCACCATTACTCTGTACAGTTCTGCCCAGTTATTCTGTATGTTTATTCTTTCTACCACTGTGGCTACTTTAACTCTTTCTCTTCCATATTTCTGCAATTTAAGTTCACGTAGACTCAATGCTAAAATGATAAACTCTGAGTTAGAAAGTATTGGAGCAACAACACTGTGGCATTAAAAGATTAGGTCTTTTCTGTATAGTTGCCTGTCTTGTCCTGTAAATGGGGAAGTCACTCTAAGTGACAGTGAGAACTGGCTGGTCAATATCACAGGAATAGACCATTCATTTACTTTTCATTACCTCAGTGTCAAATCTGGGTAGAATGTCGTTGTGATGTGTCTTGTTTGTATTATTTTGTTATAATCTGTGATGTGTTTCATTAAACTGTAATATTTTTTTTTCCATGGTAAAAAATCTCATTTTTTTTTTTTTTTACATCTCATGGGTCGTTTTTTTCTAACCAAAGAAATTTAAGTTTGTGATGCCAGGAGGTCATTGTGTCTGATTCCTCTCTGTTTCTGCTTCATGTAACTGGGATTCTGCTTTAGGTGACTGCTGACTGTTTGTACTTCAGTGATTCTTTGTACTTCAGGGAATCTTACTTCAGGTATTCTTTGTACTTTAGGGACTCTTTGTACTTCAGGGAATCTTTTACTTTAAGGATTCTTTGTATTTCAGGGACTCTTTGTGCTTCATAGACTGTTTATAATTCTTACTTTGAAATTGAAATGACTGTTTTCTGCTTCAGATATATATATATATGTAACTTTATTTTTTTTTTTTTTTTTTGCTTTATTTATCTTTGTGTGTGTTTTCTTCTTCAGGTCTCAATGACTGTTTTTTTGCTTTAAATGTCTAAATGTCTGATTTCTGCTTAAGATGTCTGTGTCTTTTTTTCTGCTTCAGGTGTCTATGTCTGTTTACTGCTTCAGATTGTTATGTCTGTTTTCTGCTTCAGGTATCTATTCTAATTCTTCTTCAGGTTTTAGTATTCATTCCAGTATTCTTTATTCACTGTCTCACATGATGTCCATATTTTGAGATCAATTTTGCATTCATGGTCCTAAAACTTTCTTTAGCCAGTCACTCCATCTAACCAAGTTTTATCATATTGTCTTATTTTTTCCTCCTTTTTTTATCATGTTGGCCAGTTGTCACAAAATTTACAAGTTTTTCACTCTTCATCTTAGCATCACAACTGACATCCGGAATAACAGGGTTGGGCAAAAAACTGGCAATGTCTGTAATAATTAAACTTTGCTTAAAATGGGATTTTTGCCATATACCATAATCAAGTCATGCATAATTTGTTTGTGTTTAATAAATTTAAACTCATCTTTTTATTCAATTATTTCTGAGATCCTGATTGTTGCAGTTAATTAAAATAAGATGTTGTTAGAAGTATATTGTTCATTGACTAACTGCCTTCTTTTTGTTTTCACTTTTCTCTCCACACTATAAATTGCTGCTCCCATCGTCCTCGATGACAATGTGCACTTGGAAACTCTGATGTACTTGACGTTACAACATGACCTGATGACCTTCACCCTTGTCTGGACTTTTCAAAATATCACCATCGAACCACCTTCACTTCTTCACTCGACAACCCACTGATCGTGTCATGCCTACTTTGCTTTGGTGATATCAAACACTGCACTGGCAATTATAGCAAAGCACTGTCCCTGGAATGATGCCAGCATACAAGAGAATAGCCATTGGGGACATCAGCAAAGGTGGCTACCCGGTCTATCAGACTAACCCCTTGATGTCACCGCTTCAGCACACTTCCCTTATGCATCTACAGCAACAGCCATCATACATCCCAATGTCCTGTAAGTATTTCATTTATTTTCATCATTATTATTATTATAGTTCTTGTATAATCCAGTGCAGCGGGATTACCTACATTTATGGATTGCTCTGTGTTTTTTTCACTAAAAATTTCCTTAGTGTATAAAAATACACTATGTGAAATATTAAACTTTTTTTTCTTCAATTCAGCTCAACTGGTTTGACTTGAAAATCTGGGGTTTGATTTCTTGTGATACATGTCACTGGCGTTGTCTCAACAAATCTGGACATTGCGTGTACAGTTGTACCAACAGTAAAACTAATGTCAAGTGGTTTTTCTTCTTCGTGCTGAGATACAAAAAGAAAGATAAAAAAATCCAGTGTAGTCATTTTAAATTTAAATTTTTTTTTAAAAATCTTTTTTTCAGATTTTCTGCATTATAAAAGATTTTATATACAGTGTCCGCTATCAGCTCAGATCAGGAATTTTTAATTGGAAACGCTGGGGGAAATTTAAATGCAGTAAATTTACTGTAAGCAACTATGTTTTGAGATGGATATATATATTTTTCAAGTTCCCAAAGTGTGTACCTTTGTGATTTAGCTTTATTCAGACACTTACATTCCAACTATAATACCTGGACTACTGGAAATAATCATTTTTGGGAGAATATAAAACACTTAACAGGAAAAACATCAAATTTTTATCTAAGACTGTGTACATTATGGACAACCTGTGTGTCTTTTAAATCTTTGCTTAGCAGCTCATCCTACTTTGTGGCCGGGGATTTTTTTTTTTTTTTAGTTGCATGCCAGTTTTCTTGTTACACGAGCTCACTTTAGTCTTACACAGCAGACGTCAAAAACATTGTTTACATGTTTCCGTTTCTATTGTACCTCCAGTGTCTTACCATATGCTATGCAGCTTGATAAAATTTCTCACTTAAAATCCTAATGCACAACCTAACTGAGCTGTGTGTAATTTTCTCTCAATCAGAAGTGGTGTTCTGTTATGAAAAATTGCTTCAGATGAAAAAAGTGTTAGGATAATAAAAGCTAAATGAGTTATTCTGGACCTTTTACGTGTGCATAATCTCATGCGCTTAAAAGTAAAAAAAAATGAAAGTCTGGCTGTTAGCTTAATTAGACAGGGACATTCATGCTTTTTGACTGTCATTCCCCACTTTATTATTCCCAACTGTCCATCAATCAAACTGAGTAGGCTGGAAAATAGCCATAATGTTTAACCAAAAAAAATATTACATTTATGGCAAACAATTTATGTTGGAAACACAATCTTCATAAAAGCCCTGGCCTTTGATAAGCAGTCATAACAGCTATCATGAGATAGTAAAGGTATAAACACATTCGTTATGTTTCAAACTGCCTTAGTGTCTGATGTTCACAGTGGAACTATAGTTTAATCTAAAGTGTATGTGTAGAGGATGATTTTACTTTGCACTCAGCGGTTGAAGGACTGGTTTTTTAACTAGGGGATGATTTTACTTTGCACTCAGCTGTTGAAGGACTGGTTTTATAACTAGGGGATGATTTTACATTGCACTCAGCTGTTGAAGGACTGGTTTTATAACTAGGGAATGATTTTACTTTGCACTCAGCTGTTGAAGGACTGGTTTTATAACTAGGGGATGATTTTACTTTGCACTCAGCTGTTGAAGGACTGGTTTTATAACTAGAGGATGATTTTACATTGCACTCAGCTGTTGAAGGACTGGTTTTATAACTAGAGGAGGATTTTACATTGCACTCAGCTGTTGAAGGACTGGTTTTATAACTAGAGGAGGATTTTACATTGCACTCAGCTGTTGAAGGACTGGTTTTATAACTATAGGAGGATTTTACATTGCACTCAGCTGTTGAAGGACTGGTTTTATAACTAGAGGAGGATTTTACATTGCACTCAGCGGTTGAAGGACTGGTTTTATAACTAGAGGATGATTTTACATTGCACTCAGCTGTTGAAAGACTAGTTTTATAACTAAAAAGCATAAGGCATCCTAAGGCATAAATTACCATATAAATGTAAGTTCGTTGACAGTAAGAAAAATAAAAGTTATGTCTGGACAGCCGCTTATATCGACAGTTATAAGAAATGAAGGTAGCAATACATTGGGCACAATGGCGAGAAAAAGCAGGCACTAGAATGGCAAACAAATGGATTGAGGAAACAGAGACATTTAAAAAAAAAAAAAAAAGCAGAAACCCTATGACAAATATTTACAGAGACCGAAGATGCTGGACTAGATTACATCCATGATATTGAAAAGACTGCACATGGTGAACCAGAAGAAAAGATTAGACCGTTATCTCTATTTGATATATCAAGGCACAGCAGGGTGGTTGGTCATGGTATGACTATGTATGTCAGACCACAATGTAATCTTTCCTTCAGAAAGATGCCTCTGATACCAGTTATGAAGCTCAGCTCAAGTTGCCTGAACAAGGTTCATGTATAATGGGTGTTCAGCTTTGAACCTCACTTGATAGCTGCTGTGGATAGAAGGTGTAGTATAGCTAGTATACAATGTAACAATAGTCTAGGACACAATGGATGCAACAGTGGTCTGGGACACAATGGATGGAACAGTGATCTAGTACATAGTAGATGTAACAATGGTCTGGGACACAATGGATGGAACAGGGGTCTAGTACATAGTAGATGTAACAATGGTCTGGGACACAATGGACGGTACAGTGGTCTAGTACATAGTAGATGTAACAATGGTCTGTGACACAATGGATGGTACAGTGGTCTAGTACATAGTAGATGTAACAATGGTCTGTGACACAATGGATGGTACAGTGGTCTAGTACATAGTAGATGTAACAATGGTCTGGGACACAATGGATGGTACAGTGGTCTAGTACATAGTAGATGTAACAATGGTCTGGGACACAATGGATGGTACAGTGGTCTAGTACATAGTAGATGTAACAATGGTCTGGGACACAATGGATGGTACAGTGGTCTAGTACATAGTAGATGTAACAATGGTCTGGGACACAATGGATGGTACAGTGGTCTAGTACATAGTAGATGTAACAATGGTCTGGGACACAATGGATGGTACAGTGGTCTAGTACATAGTAGATGTAACAATGGTCTGGGACACAATGGATGGTACAGTGGTCTAGTACATAGTAGATGTAACAATGGTCTGGGACACAATGGATGGTAAAGTGGTCTAGTACATAGTAGATGTAACAATGGTCTGGGACACAATGGATGGTACAGTGGTCTAGTACATAGTAGATGTAACAATGGTCTGGGACACAATGGATGGTACAGTGGTCTAGTACATAGTAAATGTAACAATGGTCTGGGACACAATGGATGGTACAGTGGTCTAGTACATAGTAGATGTAACAATGGTCTGGGACACAATGGATGGTACAGTGGTCTAGTACATAGTAGATGTAACAATGGTCTGGGACACAATGGATGGTACAGTGGTCTAGTACATAGTAGATGTAACAATGGTCTGGGACACAATGGATGGTACAGTGGTCTAGTACATAGTAGATGTAACAATGGTCTGGGACACAATGGATGGTAAAGTGGTCTAGTACATAGTAGATGTAACAATGGTCTGGGACACAATGGATGGTACAGTGGTCTAGTACATAGTAGATGTAACAATGGTCTGGGACACAATGGATGGTACAGTGGTCTAGTACATAGTAAATGTAACAATGGTCTGGGACACAATGGATGGTACAGTGGTCTAGTACATAGTAGATGTAACAATGGTCTGGGACACAATGGATGGTACAGTGGTCTAGTACATAGTAGATGTAACAATGGTCTGGGACACAATGGATGGTACAGTGGTCTAGTACATAGTAGATGTAACAATGGTCTGGGACACAATGGATGGTACAGTGGTCTAGTACATAGTAGATGTAACAATGGTCTGGGACACAATGGATGGTACAGTGGTCTAGTACATAGTAGATGTAACAATGGTCTGGGACACAATGGATGGTACAGTGGTCTAGTACATAGTAGATGTAACAATGGTCTGGGACACAATGGATGGTACAGTGGTCTAGTACATAGTAGATGTAACAATGGTCTGGGACACAATGGATGGTACAGTGGTCTAGTACATAGTAGATGTAACAATGGTCTGGGACACAATGGATGGTACAGTGGTCTAGTACATAGTAGATGTAACAATGGTCTGGGACACAATGGATGGAACAGTGGTCTAGTACATAGTAGATGTAACAATGGTCTGGGACACAATGGATGGAACAGTGGTCTAGTACATAGTAGATGTAACAATGGTCTGGGACACAATGGATGGAACAGTGATCTAGTACATAGTAGATGTAATAATGGTCTGGGACACAATGGATGGAACAGTGGTCTAGTACATAGTAGATGTAACAATGGTCTGGGACACAATGGATGGTACAGTGATCTAGTACATAGTAGATGTAACAATGGTCTGGGACACAATGGATGGTACAGTGATCTAGTACATAGTAGATGTAACAATGGTCTGGGACACAATGGATGGTACAGTGATCTAGTACATAGTAGATGTAACAATGGTCTGGGACACAATGGATGGTACAGTGGTCTAGTACATAGTAGATGTAACAATGGTCTGGGACACAATGGATGGAACAGTGGTCTAGTACATAGTAGATGCAACAGTGGTCTGGGACACAAGGATGGTACAGAGGTCTAGTACATAGTAGATGTAACAATGGTCTGGGACACAATGGATGGTACAGTGGTCTAGTACACTGTAGATGTAACAATGGTCTGGGACACAGTGGACGGAAGTAACAATGATCTAGGGCACAATGGATGGAAGTAACAGTGGTCTGGGGCACAATTAATGGAAGGAACAGTGATCTGATACACAGTTGATGGAAGTAACAATGGTCTGGGACACAGTGGACGGAAGTAACAATGATCTAGGGCACAATGTATGGAAGTAACAGTAATTTGGTACATAATATAAGGAAGTAACAATGGTCTGGGGCACAATTGATGGAAGGAACAGTGATCTGATGCACAGTTGATGGAAGTAACAATGGTCTGGGACACAATGGATGGAAGTAACAATGGTCTGGGGCACAATGGATGGAAGGAACAGTGATCTGATACACAGTTGATGGAAGTAACAATGGTCTGGGACACAATGGATGGAAGTAACAATGGTCTGGGGCACAATTGATGGAAGGAACAGTGATCTGATACACAGTTGATGGAAGTAACAATGGTCTGGTACACAGTTGATAGAAATAACAATGTTCTGAGACATAATGAATGGAAGTAACAATGGTGTGGGTAGAGAAAGAGAGATTACAATGCAGTGGGTAATCTGAATTTAAGAATACAGAATACCAGAGTAGCTTTCACTAGGAAATCTATAGGAGTCAAAATAAATTAAATCTTGCACTTAACCCAGAATCAGTAAATGAAACTTTTAATATCAAATCAGAACTGCTGTATGGAGAACAAAATCACAGATGTCTAATAAACTGTATGAAAATTTCATTAATTGGTTTCTGCACAAAATAAAAGGACTACAGTGCTATGACAGGATCACCAATGTGGATTTCTAAAGAGAGATAAACACGTCATATTGAATGAAGGGAAGATGCTGACACTTACAGGACACATTTTAAAAATCTGTTAATAGCATGATGAGAAAGTCTTTACTTTAAAACCCACAAGTCAAAGAAATAGGTTTTTTTAGCTCTTCTTATTCCCCACAACCCAGGTTTAGACATGTCTTTTTTGTTCATTTGTTCTCTCTTCTAGTTTTCTGCATTGATTTACCCAGTTGCATGTGGTTAGTCTTAGCAATGTTTAGTTGTGCAATTAATCTCTGCGACTTTCATAACACCATGGATTCAATAACTGCTCCAGTTTTTTTGTTTTAAGTGTTTGAATTGCTTTAAGGAAAAAGGTAATACAAATTCATAAACATTTACAAAGAGGGACACTCGAAAGACAAAAGATTATAAATTTAAAATAATGAATAATAAATGTAAATTAACAGAAGCCTAATAAACACCACCTGTTTACTCAAATAATGGTCAAAATCAGTTCCCGTGTAGGAACTCTTTGCTAGCTGCTGAAGATGGAGCGCTTATGGGAGTGCTATGATGTCAATTTGTAATTTAGCATTCAACAATAGAGGTCTGAAGTTGACCCCAGCCTTGAAGGGTTATATTGTGAAACAATAAGCAAGGAAGCATTTGAAACAAGATGAAATATGAAAAAGTTGAAAAATAAATTTTATTTTAAGAAATATGGCTGTGTTGAATATTAATCCCTCCCAGACTAAAAATGCCAAAACTATGAAGGAAACAGTTTTGTAAGTAGCAGCAGCTGGTCTGATCATCAGAGCAAGATTTTATAGAAGTAACCTAGATTTCGCTTTCTCATTGGTGGTCAGAACTATTTAAAATGGATGCAAGACCAGTTTGAGAATCTATTTGTGAATATCTATAAGATATTTAACGGAAATATGAGGCTAGTGTCATATGAAGAATGGGCATCAAGTCGTGGAAACAGGTCACCTTTGAAACCGATATGCCTTGATGCAGATTCAAAACAAAGATCTGACAGGTGAATGTCTAGCTGCAGCACCACCATGGCCCTCAAATAAAGCAACAAGTTTAGTGTCAGTTATAGTATTATTATTTTCTCGAATGAAGCCTGGGAAACGTCAGTGCCGCCCTTGAGGTCAAGATAGGAGACGCTAACAAACTTCTCAAGGGAAGTCAGTAGATGTGTGGCTGACCCCACGGGGTAAATGTACCCTAGGGTGGCTTCTGCAGCAGAAGAGTGCACACACATGGGAGTGCCCAGTGTGCTGTGGCATCGATTGTGATAACATAATATTATTCACACAAAGCAACAAGTATTCAAATAATAAAATGTCTGTGTTCATAATATCAGAATAAAAATATTCAGATAAAGGGATAAGTAGAGTACTGTTCAGTGACATTTCTCATCAAAGTAACATTGAAACCATGACTTAACACAGGCTTCCAAATAAGCTTTAAGAAATAGGGAATCGGCATGTATGTTGTTTTGTGCATTGATTACGTGCTTGTGTATGTACTTTGATTTAGGTGCTTGATGACCATATTAGCCCAAATCACAGTTACTGTTAGTGCTTTGTACTTATATTTTGCCATTAACATTATTGTGTTTTATTATAAATATTGGTTGATGGTTTAACTTACTCTGTGCCAAGCTAGTCACTATATATTTATCATTGGGTACAAGTAGAAACTTCTTCTTTCCTTTAGGAGACATCGTATAGTTTATTGGTGGACCCACACATTAAATCAGTGATTCCCAAACTGTGTGCCGCGGCACCCTAGGGAGCCATGACCTTTTCACAGGGGTGCCGTGAAATATTGTAAAAGCTTCTTAATTAATTTAATCAAGACACGAATAGTCATATTTTTGCTTAGGTTAGGGCTCCGTGGAAAAATTTTAATTGAAAAAAGGTGCCGCGACAGGAAAAAAAAAGTTGGGGAAACACTGGATTAAATAATAGTTTAAAATGAAAATAGCTGTAATACTTTCAGGGGAGTTTTGTATCAAATGGTTATCCCTGGGGGGATAAAAGGCAGATGGAGAAGAATCTAACAGCAATTGTAACATGTAATGATTTGCTTGGTGTAGAGTGTGTTAACTTATATTGATTAATCATTTATTTGTCAGTTTTGATTTTGCAAAATGCCTGTTCATTTATGTTTTATTGACATCTTTCTTTTCCTCTGTGTTTCCTCCCACCCTGCCCCTCCACGACATGTGCTTGACTTGCTGCATCGCATGCCATTGTGCTTTCCTTGTGTTGCTCGGGCTTATCGTAACCATGACAACATCTTGTAACCACGGCAATACCACTGTTTTACATGCAATACTACAACCCACCTGCCTTAAAAAATATTGACTGGAAATTGACATGAATGTTTGGATTTACTGTGCGATACATTTATGGATTTGGTATGGATTTTGTGTGGCCTGGTAAATTGACTGTTCATGGACTTCCCTCTTTAAAAATACCAAAACATCCATTCCATATGTGGATTTCACTGGACACCATTGGAAACTACTTATCAATTTCTGGATTTTATATCTTTTGATGGATGGGCTTATCAAACGGCTGAAAACATCTCAAATGTTCAATAATATTATTTGACAACCTGCATCCGCTGACCTTTTGTGTTACTGTCACCGATGATGCCCTGGGATGCCTTGGCCACAAAAGATACATATCTCTACCCTCACGAAGCACCACATGCAGCAGCCCCTACTGCCTACTCTCCTCATCACCTCACAGCAACAGCCTTAGGTCCCTCCATGTTCTCCATGTCTCCTGCCATGGCCACAACTTCAGCAGCCAATAGTAATCTCATCGCCTCCTTCATGGCCTCCACCTCCATGGCTGGCACCAGCAGCACCATCAGCAGCAGCAGCAGTAGTGGGGACTCCTCCGGCCTGGTGTCAGCCAGTGGCTTGGGCCTGTACATGATGTCCAAAAGCAGTCACAGCAGCAGCATCAGCAACAACAACACTACGTCTGCTCACGGTGCGACCCATGTCCCTAGCATTCCCAATAACGCTTACCATGTAGAATATTTCGGCAGTAACAAACAGGTATTGGTTTTCTGTACTAACATACATTATCAGCATATTCATATTCATCATCATCATCGATATCATCATCGTAACCACCTTCATCATTCAGTATATTTTTGGGCTTCTAGTATAATTTTTCAACTTCTACATGAGGGTATTGAACAGTCATGTATGTTTTAGTTTGATACTTTATATAAAAGAAAGCTAAAACAGAACTCTGAAACATTCTGCAATAGGAGTTTGAAATTGCTTTGTGAGATGGGGTAATTGACTCCCCACCTTCTCAACACTTTACCTATAGCAAATCACATACCTGTGTAAGTAGCCGGGTGTTTTAAAATGGTGACTTAGGTGTGAATACATTTTTCAAAAGCAGTTGAGATCAAACTGCTGCATTTAAACTGCACATTCAACACATCACATGACAGGTCTAGTCAATAACAGAGTTAGATCTTTTAGTACATACTAATGGTTTGCATGTGAAATGCTAAAAGACTACACATTTTCTAGGCTACATCTTTCTGATATGAGGGTAAACACTCTTTTCCTCATTGCCCATACCTCTAGCTGTTACACAGGTCTGTAACTTATTAAAGCGATTAACACAGTTAAACTAATGAATTATCTGATTTATTGATTCTGAAAAAAACAAATTAGGCTATTTTCTCATGTAAACGTCTGTTTTGATTTAATTGAAAGGAAAGTGTTTAAGATATTTTAAAGTGTTCTGTTTGTAACTAAAATTTTATAGCATGATTCAAAGCAATTGTTTTAACTTGTTTAGCCCCGGATAGTGTTGATGTATGATGACTGGCTCATTCCCTGGTATCACAGGTTTCGTCTAATGTGTTTTCTTCTTCGCATTTGGTTAGAGTGTGCTTTAAAAAAAGTATATCTAAGACCCCTGCTACAACTAATGAGCAGAGAATCATAACAGACAGGATATGTCCAGGAAGATCTGCCAGAGTTGTGAGATATTAACAATGAAAAAATTAGAAGTTTACGACTGAGAACTAGTCATTCAGCAGTTTATTGAAAAACTAAAAAGGAAATAAGTTGGCCATCTGACAAGAATGTCCTGTTGGCAATTACTACAAATGAGCAGTCGCAACAGACAGGATATGTTTAAGAAGAGCTGTGGAATAATGAAGAAAGATATTGCAAATAATGAGATAAGTAGAAGCCTAGAAGTTAATAAGTTTTACAGTTCATTAAAGAGCAACAGAGGAATGATTTGCCTGTTTGACAAGAATACCCTTGTATGAAGAGCCACAACCATGTTGAAGAAATGCTATGAATGTAAAACAGCCTTACACAAAAGATGCGGTTGTTGCATCAAGAACAATGCTAGAGAAATAAAGACCATCTCATCCAGAGCATACAGGTACATCTGCATCCAATCCTTAACATAAACAAGAGTACCAGTCACATCACATATCTTCAAACTACCAGAAAAGGTATTCATTCTTGTCCTGATTATACAATGTGACCAACTATCCAGACTATCTATTTTTGCAGTGGTACCATTTGATCCAATTATCCAGACCATCTATTTTTGTCTTTCTCTTGCTCTTGTTGTAACAAATTTCCTGGCTGTAACTAAATATTTAAGTTTTTTTCCCATCTACATCTAATTTCTGTAGTAATTTTATGATTTGAATTTGCTTCCTAAAACCAGTTGTTCCTCTGCTTCTATCCTTCACTGAAGATTTTCCTCCAAAATGACATCCCCATAGCTATCAGATAATTCTCAGTTCATGACTTATTTCCCAGGTCTAGCATGCATACAATAGAATTTGCTCTTTGGGCACTTTAACGCTCTTTTTCTGACTATATTTGACAGCTCTTTATTGGTAAGTATGTCTTTCATCTTATAGAAGGCCATATCCCTACCCACAGGGCTACAGTTATACCGGGATGGTGTGGCCCTTAGAGTGGCCTGATTAAAACCTTCTAATTGTGATGGTTACAGAAATCAGAATGACTGAGCCAACAGTCTGTACTTCCAGGATTATGGATATTAGTAACCATGAAAATAAGATGTCTGAGAAGGGCTGCAGGCTAGTCAGAAGAGATTAAATCAGGAATGAGGACATTATTTAAAAAAAAGTCGGCACAGGACTGAATTACATATGATTTGCCACTTAGAGAGAATGCCAGAGAATATACCTATTGATGCTACACCATAGAAGGCACACACCAAAAGAGGAGATGGATCAAGAGCATGAGGTAGACTAAGAACAGAATGGAAAGATAGCATCAGAGAAACTGTACAACAGCACTATGTGTCTGTGGTCGAGCAAGAAGCAGAACCTTATATCTACCTCAGCACTTGAAGTGGTAAAAGAGGGAGGGAAGAAGAAGAAGAAGACATGAAACAACCTCAAAACAAGCAGGATGTAATAATTGTTTCCCCTTTAGTGTGTATCTTTAGCCTATTTATGACTTCAGTTCACCGGAGTTGTGAACCCTTATTGTGTATCTTTAACCTATTCATGACTTCAGTTCACCAGAGTTGTTCCCCCTTAGTGTGTATCTTTAACCTATTCCTGACTTCAGTTTGCCAGAGTTGTGTTTGTGTGTGTGTGTGCATGCGTGCGTGCGCGTGTGCATGCATGTGTGTATGTGGTTTTTTTTTAGGAGTAAGTGTCTGGAGTAATGACACATTAGCAAACAGTTGTATTGTTACCTGTCTCAGACATTTTAAACAAATTATAAACCTCTGTGATTTTTTTTAATTCTTCCTCTGTTTAATTAAAACAAACAGATTTTCAGCAAACAACCAGGTAAATTCTATTAGGTATTTGTTTAGCTGATAGGCTTTGAGCTGTATGCAAGCATGTTTAAGGAGCACAGTGCTCTTCTTTCTGCATCACCAGCTTCTAGTTTTACTTGTTTTGTTGCTGGCATGGGCAAACAGTGTCTAACAAGTCTTTTAATTTGATTGTATCCTTCACACACTTTGCATGCTTAGGATACTAATATGCTAAGTTGGTGTAACTAGTGCTTTCTGTTTACTAAAGTTCTCTACTAACATAGAGAATAATTGATGTAGGACTTGGGAATAATGGTTTCATATCATTTATCTTATATTTAATATCTTTATCAACTGATGTAAGAAAATGAGGTCTTGAGAGTTCAGTTTTTTTTAAAAATAAAGCCAGTCCTGATATATAGATGTGAATGAACAAACTTTATTTGCAGAGGGTTACAAATTGAGTGCGTGGGTCAATCTTATATTCGGCCCTTCGAAGCATTTATCTTTCAGGTGACAGTTGCATTTTTATATCAAGCATATGATGTTAATATGTCAAATTTTGTTGAATAAATTTAAATTAGGAATACAAAGGGATGGTGAACCGTGGACACTGAGGCAAATTATATAAAAACTAGAAATTATGCAAGAGTTGTAGAAATGTTGTTGTTATACAAATAAATACAAAAATACTGAACAGTATTATGAAAACATCTGAGAAAAAAAAATTAACAAACAAAGAAAAACTGGGTACTTGCAGCAGAAGGAAAAATTTACATTTGGTGGTCTTGTGAGAAAAGAAAAACTGGAGTATGTCAAACAGCAGGAAATTTGGAGAGGCAAGAGAGAAGATGTTGAACAGTTTGGAATGCTGGCGGAGAGGGACGTCTGTATCTGAAACAATTGACTATATACAAGACATGAGGCTGTGCACGGTCTGGTTCAGCTCCACACAACATGGTCGTAAAGAAGCCAGCGATAAATTTCAGTTTGAAATTAGCTTTCATAAGGACAGAAAATGTAAACAAGTTAGTAACAATGGAAATGAGATGTATTGGAAAACTGCAGGAGTGACAGGAAGATACACAACCAAGAATTACGTCATAAAAGAAAAAGTTAGCACAGAACCAATACTAAATTACCTACTAAAACAGCAAATAAAATGGTTGGCCCACTTAGAGAGAACATCAGTGTCAAGAACTTAATGTCTAGGGTTGGAATCTTTGGCTGCGCTGCAGGCTAATGACAGATAAACACTGCTAACGAACACACCCAAGCCAAACACTGGTTGAACACACACACAGTCTTTATTATCTAAGGATACGATCTCATGGAGGTCAGTGCCTCAGGAGGTGTAGTGCTCCTTATTTTGAAATCAGGCTGCTTCTAACTTTCAAATCGCTAGACGCGCCTTTTCACATTCATGAAATAAGCTCTGAGCTCCTACCACACTCCCATACAGCGCTATCTCTACTAGCTGTCTCCCAATGTCAAGGACATTGTGGCACATGCCGAGTGCGGGCTAGATGTGTGTCGGCAGATGCTAACGCCACAAACAATGCATGGTCTTTTCCCCATAACGAGGTATAAATACTGGTAAGGTCTAACTGCTATCCTGAATCTAACCGCTAAATGAGATCGAAATGAAATAATTACTACCTACACCATAAAGTACTAACCACATTTAGTCAAACACCAGACGGTACGAATCACAGCTAACATCTAACACGCCACATTTCTACCCGTCGTTATGATTTGTGAATGATCTATTACACTCTAATAGTCTGGTCAAATCAATGTCCAGGTCACACATATCTCCTCCCAAGAATCCCAGATCTGTGCTTTGTCCAGTTGTTTTGTTGAACTCCCAGAGTTCACTGTTCAGTAGGCTCTTGGTGAAGCCCACTGATGCCCCAGCAAACCTAGCTCAGTGAACACGGCTTTATCTGTGTATCGGCTTGTCTGTACATGCCCTGAGTTTAGTTAGGGGCAACAATCTCCAGCCTAGCTAATTCATCATCATCACACTGAACTATCACATATAGGTATATTCCTGAGTGATGACAGGATATTTTTATCACCAGTCTAGACTCTCTGTGACCCAGAATAATAAAATAGACATCAGAGATTTCGCTTGGATCACTAAATAGCAATGACCATTTTCTTCTGTGGTAAAAATTACGTTGCTCTCCCCATTTACACACTAACTCACTTATGATTGGTCGACCTTCAGCCTAGCTCACTTCTGATTGGTCGACCTTGA